ATTAGATAATTGCATTAATGAGAAATTGAACAGGTGTTCCTAATAATCCTTTAGGTGAGTGTATGTTATATGATTGTTACACCAGACAATAATATAAATTAATTAGAAAATTGAACAGAAGTAACTCACTTCTACACAGCTTCCACTATGTCTCTGATACAGAAAAATACAAGATGTTCAAAGATGTTAATTTGCTTTCCTACTCTGCACACTCTTGTAAAGAAAGCTCAGATCTTACACACAAACACTAAGACTGCGTCAGCACAACAGTTCAGGCAGCACAACAGTTCAGACAGTGTTTGTTCTTTAATTTGCTTTGATAAAGACAAACAGCAACAAGCACAGGCAAACTGGAACAGTTGTATTACACTGGGAGAGAATGGCAAGGTTATCAATGAGGGTAAGTATCAGAATCAGGTTTATTGGCCAAGTTTGTATGTGGCACACACAAGGAATTTGTTTCAGGCAGTTTGTGTCTCTCCGGTACATTATGATACAATACAACAAAAAAGTACAGATTAAATACAATATAAAATACATCTTATTTACAGACAGAAAATGTACATAAAGTGCAAGCAACATACAAGGTGAAAAGTGTATGGGATGTATTACATTCAGTTCAATGGTGTGTTGTGAGTGGAGCAGGGTGTAGCAATCAGGGAAACAGGTGTAGGTTGAGGTTTGTAAGGGTGATGGCTTGAGGGAAGAAACTGTTCATGTGGCGACTGGTCCTACCCTGCAGACTTCTGAATCATCTGCCAGAGGGGAGCAGTTAAAAAAGACAGTGTCCAGGGTGTGATGGATCAGTGATGATTTTTCCTGCCCTTTTCATGGTTCTAGAAATGTACAAGACCTGGAGGGAGGGCAGGGGGGCACCAATGATTCGTACTGCTGTACTAACTGTCAGTTGCAGTCTGTTCCTGTCCTTTTTGGTGGCTGCTCCAAACCAGACTGTGATGGAGGAGCACAGGACAGACTCCATGACTGCTGAGTAGAACTGGATCAGCAGTTCCTGTGGGAGATCGTACTTCCTCAGTTGTCGCAGGAAGTACATCCTCTGCTGGGCCTTCTTGAGGATGGAGGAGATGTTGCCCTCCCACTCCCCACTTCTGGTCTTGGGAAATGATAGTTCCCAGGAACTTGAAGGTCTCCCCAGGTGACACAAGGGTGCTGTGTATGGTGAGTTTTCCTAAAGTCCACTGTCATCTCCACAGTCTTGAACGTGTTCAGCTCCAGATTGTTCTGCCAGAACCAGCCGCTCAACCAACCACCGATATGCAGACTTGTTGGATATCTTGGATAAGTACAATGACTGTGGTGTCATCTGCAAACTTCAGGAGTTTCACAGCTGGATCCATGGAGGTGCCGTTGTTGGTGTAGAGGGAGAAGAGCAGGGGGGATAGGACACAACCCTGAGGAGCATCAGTACTGATGGTCCGTACATCAGAGGTAATCTCCCTGACCCTCACTTGCTGTTCCCTGCCAGTCAGGAAGCTGGTGATCCACTGATAGATGGCAAGAGATACGTTCAGCTGGGAGAGTTTGGAGGAGAGGATTTCTGGGACAATGATGTTGAACGCCAAACTAAAGTCCATAAAGAGGATCCTTGCATAAGTACCTTTGCAGTCAAGGTGTTGCAGGATGTAATACAGTCCCATGTTCACTGCATCATCCACTGACCTGTTTGCCCGGTAGGCAAACTGCAGGGGGTCCAGCAGGTGTCTTGTGATGTTCTTCAGATGGGCCAACACCAGACTTCATGACCACCGATGTCAGTGCAACAGATCTATAATCATTCAGTCCAGTGATGGAGGGTTTCTTGGGGATTGGGATTGGTGGAGCGTTTGAAGCAGGTGGGTACTTCACACAGCTCCAGGGATCTGTTGAAGATCTGATTGAAGATTTGAGCCAGCTGGTCAGCACAGGTTTTGAGGCAGGAGGGGGAGATGCTGTCTGGGCCTGGTGCCTTCCTGGAAAACAGAAAATAAACAAAAACAAAGTCAATGCCAGAGAGCACCATACCACACCCCCTCTATTTGCCTCACTGGTGTGGTTTAACAAGCCATACTTTACCTGGTCCTCTTTTGGTCTTACCTCTTGTTCCTGCCCTCTTGTTAGTTACTGCCAGCTGCCTCCTGTTTGCTCCTTTGTGGATCCTGTATTTGAGTGTTCCCCAATCCTGACTTCCCCAGTTTAGTCACTGTGACCTGTTTGCACCTCTGAATCTGTGCTTGTCTGTGAATAAAGTCCCCTGTGAGGGTATTCTGCACCGCGGCTCGCATTTGGGTTGTGCCTTCTACATTTACCATGACAGTTATGCCTTTTGATAAATATTTATCTAGGGTGACCAGATAATCCATGTCAGGGAGGACACTCTGAGCTAGGACAGGAATTATAAATTACCGTTTCAATT